CCCCCCCGTTCCCCCATTTTGCGTCTACGACGTGATGGAAACGTTGATGCAACGCTGATATCCGAAGTTTTCGCCTAAAGCTCAAACGTCAGTCGTCAAGTGACCACCATTATCGCCCATCTCTCTTCTCCTCTCCCCGTGAAAAGTGATGCATCGCAAATTCACCGAAAGTTGTCCGGTATTCGAAATGTCCCACGAGTACCAACTTAGCACGCGCTCCGGGAGCGTTCTTCTCGTGGAACATCCATGAATGTATTACACAAAGAGAAGGGTCACAGGATATTCAATTATTATTCTATTACTGGTCGTTCGCGCCTAGTTAAATCACGTTGAGATTGAAAACGACGGGACGCCTGCGGCACATTGAGTGTTGTTATTCTTACCGCCAGAGCGTATGTAATGTGTGTGCGTGTGTGTATCCACGTAAGCAAAAACGAACGATCTTTACGGCATGGATATACACGAGACTGCACTTTATATGATCTATATTTCGCGATAGAAACTCTATCTTCTGAATATGCTGCGTGGGAAACGTGCAGATTCATACTCTATTTTACACACGCTGGCATCTATAAATGCAATTCCAACTCGCCTGATGTTTTTCTCTTGCAAAGAGAATCCTATCGTCCAAAGTGGAATTAACCTTTTAAGCCTGAGGCATCAAGTTCAAGTAGAATGTTTTTGTTCATAAGATAGTCTTAGAAATGTTAAAAGAAATCTCCTGATGAAAGATCTTGTGGTCCAAATAAGATTGATCATCGAGAAGTACAATTTTATGAAGGTACAGTCGGCTGATTATGTTGCAATTGTTGAAAAAAAAACAACTTTCTGTACATCATTCACTCGCATATTGTTTGCATATGTAAGCACACTTCGTATTTTTGTTTTCACATTTAAGAGTTATACAAAAAACAAATTTAGAAGGCCAGCTTGGCACTGCTTCCTTCGTGCTCCCCTCCGAGAGGAAGAGAGAGAGTCGCAACGATCGCCATAATCGGCCGTTTCTTCTGTTTCCAGGTGGTATAGCGTCATGCCTACGAAACTTTCGGACCGATTTCCTGGAGGAATGGCCGACGCCGGGCACCGGGCCCCACTTCGACACCTCCATGCAATCGAACTTCACCGGGCTGGTGGGGAAGACGGTGCATCTCGTGTGCAAGGTGAAGAACTTGGGGAATCGAACGGTGAGCCATCGGAGAATCCATCGTCCGGTTCGTGACCGGCGACGCTATTTCTTAACCCGAAGCGGACAGAGCGCGCGCTATCCACCCTTCCTCCTCCCCGCCCCGCCACGCTCGCTGTTGAATAATTTAAGGATAGGGCCGCACGAACGACCTTGCGACCCTTCCGCGCGATCGTAGCGGATACTTGAACGGCGCGTCACGTCGCCAGATTCCACCGGCCGCTCGCCACCGGGCGCGCAGGGAACGATGTCGTTAAACGACTTTCTAATCGATCGATGGCTCCGCGATCGGAGAGGGTGCGACTGTCATTGCCGGACGGAAGGTATAAGTAAGAAAGTAACAGGCGCCTCGCGGATAACCTTCCTCGACTCCCTTCAACCCCCGAGCTTTTATTAAGGCAGCACTTTAATCCGGACGCGCCAAGGAAGGCGTCCCCGTGACGGGAATCGTAATGCGCCTGAGTGACATCGCGTCTTATCGGGTGACCTTTCGAGCATTTAACCGCGAGAAATTGTCGAAACCGTGCCGCTCGTTGCGAGAAACTTCTTTCTCGTTCTCGCCTCAGCGCGCTCTTATTCAGCGCCGTTCTTGCGCACTTCAATTAATTACCGCGATGACGGTTCACGGGCGCGACGGGAACGGAGCGCATTTCTATGGTGTGTCCACGCGCATTCCGCTTATGAAATATAAAATCGCCGTTCTTGCACGCCGAGGGCCACTGCGGCGCGCAGTTCGCCCAACGCATAAATGGGGGCTATTAAATAAACATTACCGCTCCTTCATCGTGCACGGTGCCGGCGTCTCATGAAAACAGCAAGCGATGTTAGCGATGTTTATGTTCTTGCATTATTAACCGCTCTTCTTGCGCATGGAGTGAAAGCCTTCTTTTTCCCTTCCTTTCCTCTTTCACCTTTCTTTCCTTTTTCATTTCTATTTTTTGACGTTTGTATCGTGCGCGCGCGTGTCAACGAATTGCGCCGCTTTAAAAATTCCCCTCGCGAAAATTGCACCGGCACTCCGGCGGCACGATTATTCCAGCTTGAAATGTTTCCGGTGTTTGAGCGTGTTTCTGTCGTCGCGAATTAAATTCGGCCTGCCGCTCGCGCTCTCTCCGCTTAACAACGATATCATTTTCTCAATACACATCTCCCACCCTTACTGCCCTCCGACGTTTAAACGTAGCTATAATTTGTCCCGATCGCTCGAACGTCGCCATTAGGATAAAGAGACGCTTGAAAACGAGGGGAGGAGCCGCCGATTGACCATGTACATAAGTACGCGGTAGCATGACTACACACGATCAATCGGCCCTAAATTTTTCAGGAACACCGCGTTGCCACGCGAAACCGGTTCCGCATACCGATCGTTCTTCTTCGCTCTCTCCCATAACTACATATTTATTACATCTAAATTTCAGATTCGCGTGCGCTCGTAATAAAGCCCACGGGGTAATTTTCGAGGAAGATTACAGCAGCGAATTTTCCTCGTCGTCTGGAAATCGAACGATTCCGCGACGGCGAATCGCGGCGCGCCGTGAGTCACGACGTTAGCACGGGGTTGCCTTTTCGTTCATTGACTACGCGATATATAAAGCCGAGGTATCTGTCCGAGTTGCAATTTTGATTCCACTTTCCAACCCTCACCAAGACCTCAGTGTTCTACACCTATTTTGATAGTCTGAAGTCTATTCCAACCTCTTCTTATTCTATTTAATCTACTTATTTTGCCGAGAGATTCTTTGTACAATCTACAAGTAGCATTTTGTGTGCTTCCTGCCGGAAATGCTAAATAGGATTTCAGTTTCCACACGCAAAAAGAATTTCAGTTGATGCAACCAAATAGTAACCAACTGAAAATTAGGTGATCAGAAGCGATATCTCTGTTATGAAAACTAATATTTCTGTTGTCGCAACCGAAAATATTCGTCTGAACATTCAACGATATTAGAACTCGGTTGAGGCAACTAAGAACAATTGACTATACAGAAGCCTCAGAAAGGAATTTTTCTGTTCCTACAGCCGAGAATTTATTTCGTCTGATCCCTGAGCAACCGAAAATTCGGTTGCACCAACAGAATTGTTTTTTCCGTGCATGTATACTAACCTCTGAGCCGAAACTTGGATCCTACTGTCAGCCCCAATATTTTATTTAATGCCTACGTTGATATTCTAAAACCCATGTCAATCTCTTCTATTTAATCTACTAACTTTGACAAGAGCTCCTTCTTATAGTCTAGAAATTAATTTTGGTGCGCTTTTTACCATTTAAAGATGCTAAGTAAGATTTTAGTTTCCATGTGTATCAAATTTAGGTCCAAAGCAGAATTAAAATCTCGATTTGGGTTAACTGGAGTCGAAATTTTGATCTCACTGTCGGCTTCAATATTCCATTTAACACTTGCTTTGATACCCTAAAGCTTACATCAACCTATTTTGATTCTATTTAATCTACTAGCTTTGCCAAAAGGCGCTTCGTAAAATCCGCAAAAGCGATTTTGTGCGCTTTCTGCCATTTAGAGACGCTAAGCAAGATTTCAGTTTCCATGTGTAGTAAACTGAATCGAAATTTTAATCCTACTATTGGCCTTAATATCTCATTCAATGCTTACTTTGGTATTTCATAAAGCTCATGTCAATCTCTTCTGATTTTATTTAATCTAATTTCGGCAAGAGGACCTCTTTAGAATCTACAAAAGACTGTCATTTAAAGTTAAGTTAGGATTTCAGTTTCCACGTGTATTAACCCGAGTCGAAATTTTGATCTTACTTTCGATCTTGATATTCCATTCAATGTGTACTTGATACTCTGAACTCTATATCACTTCTTCTGATTCTATTTAATCTACTAATTTTTCCAAAAAATCCTCTTTACAATTTACAAGTGGCATTTTATACATTTTCTGCTATTTAGTGATTCTAAGTAGAACTTCAGTTTCCACGTGTACTGAATACGCTCTCTTCCTTCAGAATATACAGATGTTAGAAAGTTTAGATTCAAAGCAGAGCTAAAATTTCGATTCGAATTAACTAGAGTCGAAATTTTGACCCTGCTTTCGGTTTCGATATTCCGTTTGACGTCTCCTTTGATACTCTATCGGCTATATCCTCTTATGATTCTATTTAATTTACCAACTTTGCCAAGAGATGTTTTGTAAAATCTATGATCTTAAGCGTTTTCTGACATTTAAAGACGCTAAATAGGACTTAGTTTTCATGTGTATTAAACATACTCAACTCCTTCATTCAGAATACACAAATGTTGGAAAGTTTAGGTCCAAAGTAGGGCTAAAATTTCAACTCGCATGGTCTCGGTGGAAAGGCGCGCATCAACCGGGACATTCGTCATTGAAGTTTACAAGAGCCTCGTTACGCTCTGCGATACACTCGCTTAATCCGTCCTTTCGACTCGCCGACGTGATATCGCCGGATCTGTTATGATGTATGACGCTGTTATCGCACAACAGGCGTACTGGAAGGAAGATCAAGCGTCGGTTCGTCCAACCATCCGTTCGTCGTCGCAGCTTGCGAAGGTGCATAATTACCCGGCTGTTTGCCCGGGTTGGCTAAGAAGCCGCTGTTAATACATCGCGGATGATAATGGCTGTCTTCATTAGTAGACATATAGACACCGTAATCCGTTCAAGTTGGCTTGAGTTCGGCTTACCTGCTTTCTCTCCCCCTCGCCCCCCCCCCTCTCTCTCTCTCTCTCTCTCTCTCTTTCTCTCTTTCTTCCCTCTTCTCTCTTCTCTCTCTCTTCCTAGCTAGGAAGCAGATCAACGTCGTTGCGCGGTCGATCTCGGTAATCTCCGCTATCTCGACGAAGCATGATGAATGCGGGTAGTTAATAGCAAGGACTTTGAGGATTTCGCATCGGAACACAAAAGTCCCTTTTGCTCGCGTCCTCTCTTCCCCGCACGTTTGCATCCGAGTCTAGGTGCCGTCTTGTAATCGCTTGCTCGAGGAGAAATCAGGTTCAAAATGGAGACAGCATGACGGAGCGAGACGGCGCGTCGACGTTAACGAACATCGCGTTCTGGCACTGGAACGCGCCTTCGGCGTGATATCAGTGAGCGGGGAACTTTTACATTCGCGAGAACGCAATATTATCCAGTATTATCCGGCGGACTTCCCAATCGATTATCCGCGTATGCCGCGGCTTGCTCGGCGTTTCTAGATAAAGCCGCCGGCTCCGAAGCGATATCGCGGGACCGTAACGATACGGGGAATCACCGCGGTGTGATTATCTTGCGCATTTCCAAATATCCATTCCGCGGCCTTCCGATAATAATTGGCGATCGCGCAGTTTATTCGTCGCGCAAACACGGCAGCGGCTCGTAATCGCGCTCACGCTCCGAAAACGCGCACGGCTTAAATATCCACAATGCGCCGTTGATTAACGGGCGACTCGACGTGCGATGTAAAAACTTGATAAACGAATCGTAATCGTGAACACGGCTTTTGCCTGCACTGCTGGTCTGCGCCTCTCGCCGCGGCGCTCGATGTTACACGATTCCCGTAATGATTTATGAATATTAATCGAACGTTAAGCCCCTCCGGTGCTCGAGTCGCGCACAATCGAGCGCTGTCAACGCGCCTCGCGACTTCGATCGCGGAATTAAACCGAACACTACGGGCGGAACGAGTGCGCGGTGTGCACTGTCGATTCGTTTACATACGCGACGATTGCGGGCGGCACTCGCGTCGATACGCAATCCTCGCGTGAGTAGGTCATGACATTTCGGGGGGCCCGGGCGAGCTGATAATTATTATTATAATAATTAAATAGAAACTGTCCCGGCGATAGCGCCACCAGCGACAGCGCAACTGAGCTGGCAGCTATTGAATATACGGAAGATCGGAGCTGGAGATGACCTATATTTTAGAATTTAGAAGTTACAACTCAAACAACCAGTTGTAACTAACTGTATCAACATGATAGAGACAACTTTCTTCTATGTTACCTTCTTGTCAATCTTCTTGTGTATTAAGAAGATGCTGAAG